TCTCTCTCTCTCTCCCTCTCTCTCTTTCTCCCTATCTCTCTCCTCCCTCTCTCTTTGTCTGTCTGTCTGTCTGTCTCCCTGTCTGTCTGTCTGTCTGTCTGTCTGTCTGTCTGTCTGTCTGTCTGTCTGTCTCTCTCTCTCTCTCTTTCTCTCTATCTCCCTCTCTCTATCCAGCCGTTGCTCTCCCCCAGGTAGTGGTGTTTACATGAATAGTACTTAATAGAGTCAACTTCAATTTTTTTTCTTTTTCTACTCCTAAGATTCCACCCAATGTACGGTCTCAAGGGGGCTTACAGGGAATTGGTCAACATCGTGACCCGATCTCCCGCCATGCTCAGGCTCCTGCGTGAAAGTTTTGGCGCAAACATCGGTGACTGTGGACAACGCTGCCTCACTTTCTTACCACAAAGAACAAGTTCGGCTTATTCTGACACCAGTCTGATAGTGCTATCTGCTTATTACTCCACCGAGTTTACGACGATTCACCCTGTTCCTCTTATGTTTGTCATGAAGGAGACGGCACTAAGTAAGTTAGGATTTAAGTATCACCATATGCATTTAACAAATATGGTTTTAATTAGATTCTACCTCAGGTATGGGCAAACTACGGCCCCATGGGCAAGATTCGATTCCCGAATAATTTCAGTAAGGTCTGTTAATCTAACTACAACAATAATGAATCTGCTTTGGCCTGTGAGATATTCAGAATCGCTCTATCAGGCCCTATCTGATCTATCTATTGCCGAAGGAAATTGTATAGAAAAAATCGACTTATCTTTATCTTTTCGTGTTTGTTTTACTTATATGAACTCAAATTTTAATATGTTCTGTGGGGCTTTTTGTTTGTTGTTGTTGGGTTTTTTTTTACTTTTTGCCTAAAAAGCGAGGTGCTGCACTTAGTTAAACCGTTATCTCATCTGTTCATAAATAGTAATTCTGAGGGGGTTGAATTCACTCGGCCGTAATCTCAATATAAAATTTGTAAACTGTACCAAGGTGCAAATATCTCAGACTCTCCCCATCAGCGTGCTACTGTTGATTGTGTGTTGATTGGGGACTTTGCTGTTCTCTTTACTTACTTGCTCAGGTCCTACTGACTGCAATAAATATTCAATTTGGAGGCCCCCCTCTTTATAACGAATAAAAGTGTTTCAGAGTTGAACGCGGGTCCTTGTGCAAACATCATACAGGACTGGACTATCTGGCGCTCTTTGGGGTCAAAGGCCGTGACTTCCAGAAAGTTTTATTGTTTTGTGTTCTTACTGAACAGGTACATAAGTTTGCCTCTCCAAATTTCTAAGGAAAATACCTTTTTCTCTTTAATGAAAAAAGTCCCTATCAATTTAAATGTCAATACTTATAATATCACAGATGGAACAGCTTATAAATATCAAAATCTAAGAGTTTTGATCTTTTGGCGTTCATTTTTGGAAAGGTGGGATTAATAGTATATTAACTGTTTCTGGGTATTTGTTAACAAGGGCTCAAAAGAAAAATCAATAATTCCCTCTTTCAAAGCAGTGATCGAAAGCTTTCACACAGAAAGCAGGGCCATTGTTCGTTAAGTTGACTTTTTCTTCTGCTTTTAAAACATTATTTAAGGGGTGGGGTGGGGCGTTATACATTGCATAATTCGAGTGGATAACAGGGTTTGCTAGTTTGTTTGTTTATTTATTTTCTGTGGGTTTTTTGTGGTTTTTCTTGTGTGGATGGGGTTGGTGATTTTTAAAATATTTCCAACGGCCCTTTGTGCTTACAATCAGACGGGCCCTTCCTAAACGACTGTTTCTAGTAAATGCGTCAGGCTGAAAAAAAATACAAATCCTTAACCCCTGCAGTACTCTAGATGACTTCCTATAAAGGACACAATCTCATCACTCCTACCAGACAGTCTCCGCTACAGACTCCTCAATGTGCGCTATGCCGGCCAACAGTTCAAGTCTGTGCCTGAGCTACTCAACGCCTACAGAAAGCCCGGCCTACGCAAGATACGGAGACTTTTCCCTCAGAGCTCCCCTGGCGAAACCTCAACACTGGGCTCTATGAACCTCCGGGGTCGGAAATTCCCGCCTATAGCCCAGGAGGGACCTAAGGAATATGAACCTCAGGGAAAGCGCTACAGGTAGGCTGAAACAACATGTCTGTGATAGTTTGTGAACTCTTGAAAAAGTGACTGCGGTGGATGGGCCGTTCACACCGGTGTCTGTACTGTAAAGTTTTGGCACTTCGCCGTCAAAAGCAGATGACCCGAGTTGGATTTTGGTGTGGGGAAAAGTTTTATCGATTATCTTGGTCCTTATATTGGGTTGAATCCCAAATGATTTGAATTGTGTTCTTTGAGGGTGTATAAACACTTACATATAAAACGACGTCCATCCACAGTTTGGGGCAGTAGTCCCATGTCTAGTAGAAATTACAGGGGTCCTTCAAGTGCTTAACATAATATTGTTGATTTAAGTAGACGTAAGGGAGCAGCGGAATCAATGTGGAAGTTGCAGGTTTGTATCACATTCATTTGTTATAAGAATTTGCAGAAACACAGGCCATAACGATAAAAAAAAAGTATTTTACTCACTTTACCTTTTGCTTTTCATCCTCTGTTGCGTAACGGGTCGTAGGGAGATGCAGTTTTCATTGGTGGCCAGCTCTGCAGCTCTTTCAATTGGGATATTATGAATCCTTTTACATGTCAGTTAAAGTAACTTAAAATGTTGCGCTAGTCTATATAATGTTTCAATTATTACGCTCTCTTTATTCGTCGTTAAAGAGAGGGCTGTCAAGAGAGAATTCGCTAGTTTCATGTCTTGTACATGTCATGATGCCATTGAATTTATGATTGGTCTTCCTTCTTATCTTATTTCGGGCAGATTTTGATTCAGCCAATCCTCTGCTAAAATTCTTGAACAATTTCTCCGTGATGAATGCAAATGCACTTTTACCGAAAGCTAACAGAAAGGTCGAATAGCTAAACCTTTTCTTATTGGCCACCAGTTTTCATCTTCAGTAAAAGTATCGATCTGGGCTGTAGTTGTTAGTAGGATGGCCATGAATTTAAAAAATAATGTATATATATTATATTCCTCATTTTTAGTGAAGTGCTAATCTTCTCTTAACAGTCTGGACATGCCTTGTACTGTATGTTTTTTGTTTTTTACCTAAAGACCGACAAACAAGCTAAAAGAAAATAAAGGAAAATAACCAAGTTACAATTTCTCTACGTACAAAAGAAATAAAAGTTACATTTAATAATGATTTTTTTAAAAATATATTTGTTTGATTCTTAATTTCTCACTCCACGTAGTATCAAGAATCAGCACGTGCAGTATCTGGACTGGAGCTTTAACCTGAGGATCTCGACCAGTAGCGGTCCACAGGTGTGGGACGTCAAGTGGGCTGATCAGAGAGTGGCCTATGAGATCAGTCTGCAGGACGTGGGCGTCATCTACGCCGGAGCTAACCCTGCCTCCTTTTACGCACATCTGTCAGATAGTGCCTTCGGTTTGGGCGACCAGGTAAGACTTCGAAGGTGTCTTAAAACACACTTACTGATAAGATAAGATAAGATAAGATAAGAAAAGATGGGGGCGAAAGGGAGAGAGAGAGAGTGTGTGTGTGATCCAAAGTATCGATCCTTGAATATTAATTTGTTGCCCAAGTATGAATAGTCCCGTCAAAGTTATGACAAGGTTGACGCACATGAAGCTCCTTGGTCAAGCTATTACGTTGTCGTGAGCTGATAAGGGCATGGCAATCCTAAATGCCTTAAAGACACTGTGTAGCCACTGTAGGAAGGTGACTTAACGGCAGTAATGTCTTGGCTGTATACTGCTGAACCTGAGTGTTTCAAACTTGAATATATTATATATTTTTTCATAAAGGATAATAATGTGGAGTTGTAATATTCTTTCATCGACAACAAAAACTTGAAGTTAAATAAGTTATGTCTGGATTGATCACTAAAACATAAAAAAATAGTTTGTATGAAATTAAATAATAAAATCGTAGAATCAATTACATCTTATTATATTACAGATGATGTCTTGTCGCTTTTTATCTTATCTCCTCTTGTTTTCCATTTCCACAGAACCGCCGCCATAAGCCTATCAAAAAGAACCAACGGACGGCTCTTGTCATCGGGCTGACTTTGTCACTCCTGGGTAATGTCACTCTGCTCATCCTGCTGTTATTATCCGGTCAAAACTGCAGGTCAACAAAACTTCAGCAGGCCTCCTGCGTTTCTATATCCCCCACGTCAGAAACAACGACACAAACGAGCGGTCACTTCAGTGCTGCTTCCGTGTCTTTTTCAGACAAGTCATCATCACAGGACAGCGCAGGTCTACAGCATGACGACGTCTCATCGACCACAGCTTTACCTCTATCGGAGAGTGATTCAACAACTATGTTCACAACAGCGGGGACCGAGAGCTCTGCTGACGCTGAAACTCAAGCCAAACAGAAAGAGTTTGCGAACATAAACACGCCGGCCTTGAGCTCTTGCCAGACAACTCATCAAAATCAGGAGCTCTATGACAAAAGAAATTATAACAACATTTTCGCAGACTTGACTCCTGAGGAGATAACTAGTGTGTATGGCTACTTGAAAAGACAAGCCGATCTGAAGGTATGATAAGAGTAAAGAATATGTTCTAGCACTATATTATTATTATCTTTATATAATTTAATCATTGATTGCCTTTGGTGAGAAAAAGTCAGAATTTGTCTGATACGTTTTTATCGTAAATTGTTACGGATTGCTTTATAAAATCGTTAGAGGAAAACTGAAATTGAAATGTCATGAAAAAGGCTGAAAGTTGGGCTACACATGTACAAGTTTTTCTTTCAATGACATAACAAAGCCAAGGACACGTTGCGATACACTATACCATCAATTTAAAAAGCAAACTGTGGAAAAAAAATCTACAGCAGCTGATGAACTGGACATTCGAGAAATTTTAGTCTCAAAATAATATAGCTAGCAATTTGCTTTTTGTAATTAAAAAAAGGGGGGAAGGGAATTCCCTGAAGATTCTATTTCTTGTTCTAAATCAACAACAAAATGGAGGAGCCTACTTTATCCTTTTACAAATGATCTTTCTATCAGAGAATGCGTGAGAAAAGTGAAGAAGGGAAGAGGGGATCTGAACAAAACCCACACAAAAGTTCCAATGAAACAGTTTCCTTAGTTCCATCTGCAAGCTGTTGCGTTTTCAATCTTTTCCCCCCAGTTTTCCATTTGTCTTTCTTTGTTTGTTTGGGGTTTTTTTTGGTTTTTTACAGAGTTGACATGTACATATGATTATATAAAATGTTTCTGTAACTCCCATGTGACCTCATTGAAGGAGAGTTTCCTTCTCTCAATTTACTAATTCGCCTATCTATCTATCTATCTATCTATCTATCTATCTATCTATCTATCTATCTATCTATCTATCTATCTATCTATCTATCTATCTATCTATCTAT